TTGGTGCGTTCCAGCCTGGGTTTATTAAATCAGTTTGTTTTTTGCATCTTTGCAATGTAACAACACATATTGTCATGGGGTTTTCTCTGTGTGTGCCTGTGCGTGTATGTGTGTGTATGTGTGTGTGAGTGTGTGTGTGTGTGTGTGTGAGTGTGTGTGTATGTGTGTGTGTTGCTATCCAGAAAAGATACATGGCTTGATCTCTAGACTCAGAAATGCTACACGGCTGAAATTCTGGCAACTTAATCTACACCTACGGGCCTCTATCATCAAAATGAACTCTCAAGTTTTACACGTGGTCCTCACGTACAGGCACATTAAAGTTTTTTCGGGAAAGCGATTTCAAGGACGACATTAGGTAGAAGGCTGAAATTCATAAAGATATTCCCTAGGTACGTCCAACCCAAAGATTTTAAATTCAGCCTTTACGCGCCTCGAAGATTCATGCACGTACACGCCAAAGCTTAAATTGTCGTCTCGTCAACTCCAGATTAAAGCTGACCAAGAAGTTCTAGAAAACTGTAATTTTGCAGCACTGCTTGCCACCCGCTGATGTGCCCAGTAAACTGAGCTTTCTAGCCGCTCTGCATCTTACTTGCAAACCGTGAATTTTTCAATTTTCACGTCGATTCGTGATTTCGGAACTGAATCAGCTGGAGGGCTGAAACTTTCTGAGCATGACCCAGAGCCGTGTTTGAGCAAAGACACTTGAAAACAATATTCGTGTTCCCCCTAACTTGCGAACACGTGAAATTTGACGTGACTCCGCAGCCAAAACACCTGCAGTGCTAAATTTTTCCAGCATTGGATGCGAGTCATTATAAAAATTTCTGACAGTCGTGCTGACCAGTCTCAATTCTTTCATCTAGAAGCATCTGCCGGAAAGAATAGTGCCGTTAGCAACAAAGACATGAGGGACTGCGCAAAAAACGCATTTTTGCACCGCCATTCGGTGCGTTGGCCAATTATTTTTTAAATCGTCTGCTTTATTTTCTCGTTAGTCGCTAAAATTTATGCCAAAAGGGTTACACTAAACCTCTTCCGTTTCCGTTTTTATTATGCGCTTTTGCTTATGCGCAAATTGCAAAAGCATATCGAAACGACCCTATCTGTGTGTGTATGTGTGTGTATGTGTGTTTGTGTGTGTGTGTATGTGTGTGTGTGTGTGTTCATCTGTTCGGGTATTTCAACTCGGCAACCAAGCAAGCTCTGGCGCCAAAATTTTGCTAGTGGGTTCCCCAGCCATGTGCCACCTCAGAACCGCGGTACCAACCCCTACGCAAGTCTAGGCCCCGCATACGAGGGTGGAAGTTTTGGCGAAAAAATTGCTCACTGGGGAACGTGAAAAGCTAGAAAGCTGAAATTTTGAGATTATGTCCCCCTCCACATAGAACTCAAAGATATCAAACTCAGCTCCCGGGTGCGCATGATTCTCGCATACAGCCCCGTGAGGTTCCTGACGCGAAAATCGCTAACTTGGGGACCAGGAAAGCTGGGAGGATATATTTTGAGAGGATGTTCCCAACCTATGTACAACTTTGAGTTATCAAATTCAGCCCCCAGGAATGCATGGCTCTCATGTACAGCCTCGTGAAATTTTTTGGAGAGAAAATGACTAATTCAGGAACCAGGAAAGCCGGGAGGCTGAAATTTTAAAAAGATTTTCATGACCCCTGTGGGACTTAGAGTTACCAAACCCAGCCCCCAACCATGCGCGGTTCTCATGTGCGGCCTCGTGAAACTTCTTGGCGGAAAAACGGCTAATTCGGAAACCAGGAAAGCTGGGAGGCTGTAATTTTAAAGGGATGTTCATAGCCCGCGTTTTTTTTTTTTTTTTTTTCGAATCCAGCCCCCCTATGTGCTTCCAGGTCGCGTTCAGCCCTGTGAAAGTTTTGGCGGAAAAACTGCTAAATCGGGAGTCAGAAAAGCTGAAAAGCAGAGGTTTTTCGAGAATACTCTCCGCCCAAATGCACCCTGGAGGTTTCAAATTCAGCTTTCACTTACGCGTGGTTCTCGTGTGCGGCGTTTAAATTTTTGGCATGAAAATTATTCGCTGAACAGCTGGGTCATTTTCAAAAAGCGATCGCTAAACGGGAATTGTTTACTTCGTTTTATGCAAAATTTACGATGATTTATGGCGTTGAGCGCACAAGCTAGGTGTGAAGAAGCAACCGTTCATGCAGCTAACTTAATTACTTCAAGTTTGGTACAAAAACGCATAATAGCAGTGGCTCTTTTGGTGTGTTCTAGGCTAGGTTCATTTTTTTTTTCTTTAAGTTTTTGCAAGTAAAATAATTGGACAATGCACGGGCTGCCCGTGTGAAGAAGCGTTTTTTGCATAGTTCTCCATAGCTTTTGTCGCTATCGGCGCTGTTTTTTTCGGCAAATTTCTTCTAGCTAAACAAATTAAGACTGGCCGCTAGAACTGTCAGGAAACACCCTCCTAAAATTTCAGCATTCTAGCTTTTCTTGCTCCTAAGTTAATAACACAATGGAAAAAACTTTCACGGGCCCGTACGTGGGTACTACGCATACTCGATGTCTGGGTTTGAGCTCGTTGAGACTTACGTGGATGGGGAACATCCTCTTAAAACTACAGTTTTCTAGCGTTTCAGGTTCTTGAGTTAGCAACTTATACGAGAGGAACTTTGGTGAGCCCGTGCGTGGGTACCACGCGCAAGCGGAGTCTGGGTTTGAGCTCGATGAAACTTAGGTGAGCGGGGAATATAGTCTTAAAATTACAGTCCATTAGCTTTTCAAATTCCCGAGTTATTAACTTACCCGAAAAGAAATTTTCAAAGGCCCGTACGTGGGTACCAGGCTTACCCATGGGCTGGTTTGAGCTCACTAATATCCACTTGGACGGGGAACATCCCCCTAAGATTTCAGCATTCTAGCTTCTCAGATCCTCGAGTTATGAAGTTACCAAAAAAAAAAAAAATTTGGGGAGTGACGCATCGGTGATGGTGCCTATTTTGGGGACTGGGGCCGGCACTTGCGTGTAGGTTAATTTCCCGAAATGTCAGCCCTGCAGCTTTTACAGGTCTTGAGATGAAAGTGCGTGACAGACGTACACACAGACGCACAGACACACAGACAACCCCTCGTCAATATGCGTTTTTTGCATTGCACAGCTGCAAAAAACGCTTAACAAAATGACAATAGTTTTTTCTTTGGAAACGTCACTGTTATAACATTGGAGCCATAGATATAGCTATGCGTTTATCCACCCTTGCAAATTTGTCCCTACTTCATTCGATTTCTGAGAAAGGCAACCTTTCAAAATCTAAGCAGATGCATGTTAGATTTCAGTCCCATGTAACTACGTGGAGCTGAAGCTAGAGGTGTAGAATTTGCATCAGCTCAGAGTTGCAGGTCCAGTCGGCTTGATGACTCTGCTTTCGGCGAAGGCGTTCGGCGCCACCGAAGTGGCCATCACTGATGTTATGGACAGCAGACTGGCGATCGCAAAGGAAATCGGAGCTGATTTGACAATAAATGTGAAGGACAAAAGCCCAGATGATGTTATCAGCATACTGAAAGATAAATTCGGAGAACTACCAGAAACAGCTGTCGAATGTGTTGGTTTTCCAGAAAGCGTCGAACTGTCTATCAGGGTAAGGCTTTACTCACTTTTTGTAAATAGTCTCGTTACGTCAACTCTACATTCTGATTTTACCGGCCACCATTTTTTCCGTTTTTAAGTCTGATCATCCTCGAATTCTCAGTTCTATTTTTACTATATAAAATGTTTTTCAAGATTGTCCTAT